TGGACTAGCACATAGCTCATCAATTGGTCAGTGACAGATAGATATATAGAGAGAGATGTGTGTCTATCTGTGGGTGTGTCAATATGGGCAACATTTGCAAAAAGACTTTCATATTGGATAAGGAATCCTCACACTTGTTTTTCAATTTGAACTTCCTCTTCTTCTTCAAAATGGAAAATAAATGAAATTTCTTGTCACTTACATAAGAAAGAAAATAGACTAGGGAGGCTAAGCGCTATGTTAGTTGTTGAACCTCTTTAATATTGGATGGGCTTCTCATGTTGATGATGGATTGACACTTGTCTGGATTTTCCTCTACCCCTCCCCTAACTAACATAAATCCTAAGAACTTACTCGTCTGCACGCCAAAAGACCACTTGACAGGGTTCAAGCACATTTTATATATCTTGATTGATTCCAGTATGTCTTCTAGGTCTGAAACATGCCTTTCCACTTATGATATCTTCATAATCATATCATCGATGTAGACTTCTAGATTCAACACTATCTATTTTGAGAATACAATATCCAATAGCCTTTGATAGGCGGTGCCTGCATTTTTCAGTCCAAAATGCATGATATGGTAGTAGTAGTTACCATGGTTGGACATGAATTCCAATTTTAGCGCGTCCATAGGATCCATCTTTATCTGATTATAGCATGAGTAGGTATCCATAAAACTCAATATTTTGTAATCGGAGGACCAATAAAATAGCCAGTCAATATTAGGAAGCAAATATGGATCCTTAGGGCAGACGACATTTAAGTTTGTGAAGTTGACACATTTTCGCCTTTAATGTTGTATGTGAAGTTGACACATATTTTCTATTTGTTTGACGACTTCCAGAATAAAACCATATTGGTCATCTAGGATGGGTATTTAACCTCAATTATGAAGAATTTCTCAGTTTAGGAACTTCTTCATCAACTGTTGTCTGCCTCTCCTTGCTCACCTTGCGCTTCCTCTAAGATATTGGCTTCATGGTGGAATCAATTGTAAGTTAATAGAAGACTACCCTAATACCTATTTTGGGCATGGCAGCAGGTGCCCAAGTGCTTAAGTCAACATTTCTCTTTAATAGAGCGATGAACTTCTCCTCCACGGCTTCAGACAGGGAAGTTCCTAGCTTTGTGACTTGGAAGTCTTATGGCCTAATTTGGACCTCCTTTTGGTCCTCTTTGGAAATGAGTCATTCATTCTCCGCCTCTAGTTTAGGATATAAATTTGTAGCATCTATTTTCTACACGTCTGGCAATGGAATGGTGATTGTGGCCATCTCCTCCCTTCTTATTTCCACACTACTTTGATAATATTCTTGGGCAATCTCTTGGTCCCCATGGACCACCCCAACTCATTCTCTAGGTAGCAGGTACTTCATGCTCAAATGTAGGGTGCCCATGAAAACTCCTAAAAGGTTAAGGGTGGGCCTCCACATGATGACATTATAAGGTGACGAGGCAATTACTTCAAGATATATGATCTTGATTATCTTTGTGATTTCCTTCAACCTATACATCGTCTAGAGTGTTATATGGCCTTTCACATGTATTTGCTTACCTGACAGACCAACAAAGAAGCCTTGGAATGCTCAGATGTCATCTGACTCAAACCGAAGCCTCTCAAAGGCGTTCCACAATAGGACGTCTGCTGAACTTCTGAAGTCAATCACGTCCCAATTATCATATTGCACCGTGATAACCATGGGATCATTTTTATGAGGGAGGATGCCAATGACATCTTTGTTGGAGAAGGTGATTTTGGAATTCGACTCCTTCTCCAAGCCTGTTTCAGGATCAGCGGGTATAATGCTTGTCATCAAAACCTATATGGGATACTTCCGGCAGGAAAAGTTGGATTCTCCGCCACCGATAAATCCCTATGCAATGGTGTTGACTATGATATCTAGACTTTATTCCATCATCCTCATGGAGAAGGTGATGAATGTGATTGGTGATTGATAAAGAGTGTGTCTCAGGTTAGTTTTATCGAGACCTAAGATGGGTGCCAATTGTACTTGCTAAAATGTATAATAAGGGTAACCCTGTATTTGAAGAGTAGTATGTGATGTTTAAGGTTGTTAATGTTGCTTAGAGCTTGCTCACGCAGAGTAATGATAAACTTTGTAACTGTGGTTTCTAGGTGAATAGTTTATTTCCCTTTCTCAATCCTAGAACTGAGATATTTATAGAGACCCCTTAAGCCTGGATCCTTGGACTTAAGAACAATTATTCTATCTCCTCCTTTAAAAAAGTGGAATAAATGAGAATCGTTTTCTCCTATAATTATAAGGGATACAATTCTTCTTCTTGACTGACTCATATATTACGTTAGTGTAGATGGTCACGTCATCCCCACGTTCCTTGGACAGGTGGACCGTAAAAACTGTGTTGAGTAGCCCAAGCCCAACTGTGATATCTTACAATAACACTCTATCGACATAGGCGTAACATTGGTACTCATCAACATTCCTTCGAACAATGTCATCATAGTACTCGCTCATCCCTAGTGGGTTAGCTCCGTTTCCTCCCGGTCTTATTTTTTTTTTGTCTAACAAACTTATCCTAATACAAATTACAATTGTAAACATCATTGATAATCTAAATATTAAGTTAATGTGATTTGAATTAAAAAAAGTGAAGTTAATATATTTTCAAAATAAATTTAATTCATAAAATATTTTTGCTCTTAACAAATTAAGTTTTTGATATCATAATTTTCACATTCCAATAAATCTAAATAAAAAAGTTCATGATATCAATCGATCTTTTCTTTTGATTTGTAATAGTCTCTCCTTAATTTTTTCAATGTATCTTTATCGATAAAGATAATATATTTTATTTGTTTTTGAGAAAAACAAAAACAATAAAAATGTTTAGTTGGTTTTATTTTTAAATGTTCTTATTTATGATATGTTTACTAATTTTTTTTTTGTCTATAATATATCTTTGAATTTTTTAACAATTTAAGTTTAATTCAATTTCTCTCTCTTACACACAGACATATTACAATTTGTAAATATATATATATATATATATATATATATATATATATATATATATATATATATATATATATATATATATATATATATATATATATATATATATATATATATATATATATATATATATATATATATATATATATATATATATATATATATATCTCCTTCAAGCGTGTGGTTGGTCTGGAATGTCAACACTTACTCCAATCAACCGGAATCCATTCACATTCTCTTGTGCTAACAAGTAAATTTATTTTTAAAACGTGTATATCAATGATGTTTCTTTGTAACTTATTTAATTGGGAAATGTTTCTTAGTAACTAATTTATTTGTGTCTCTTTTTTTTAGGTGGTCTGTTCTGGGAATGAATTACCAAAGATGGCCCAGGAACTCAATAATCATCTACCGCAACCTTATAGAACACATTGGGGCAGATGATGTAATTTATCTACCAACGATGTATCATTACTTTGTCTATTTAATAACCACATACTTTTTTTTATCATTAAATCTATTATTAATGTAGTTTGTCTGAATGTCATACGAGGGTCTCGACCATCAGCCTAACGCCAATGATGTTGCCGTGTGGACAGCTAAAACAACTATCATTCGGTTCACTACAGTGGAGATGCACCAAAGTGATCGGGTGAAACTGCAGTTTAGGATGCATTAGGATATTCCAGTCGCTCCGACGTCTTTGAGAGACTGACATCAACTTAGAATGGATACATAATGGAGTGTAAATCATTGGAAGGACTTTGCAAAAGAGTTGTGTTTGCATTGGAAGAATCGACATCAAACACCATGTTATACCAACATCCAACTATGCCTACCTAATTGATCTTCCAAAACCGCAACTCATACATGCCACCAACCCAATCACAACAACAAGAACCTTACCCCTACCGCCTGCCTCCCGAAACCGGCACCACTTCTGCCTATAGCCCTGATAACTCTTTCGACCTTACCTCATCCACCTATAACCCCAATAACTCTTTCGATCCCACACTAGCTAACTATAACCCCCCACGAATGAACACACAATCTTCCTACCATCAAAATATCTATCCATTTTTTGACTACCAAACCCCACAACAATCATTGCATCGTTTCCAAACTGATTCGATGTACCAAATCGGACAACCATACCATTCACACCTGATCCAACCTCCCCGTCCCAACTACGAAAGCATGAGCATTGAACTAAATTACGGTAGCCCCCAACTATTGGGATCAAATGCTTCAAAATTTATCTGATACATCGGGGTCATCTCAACAAATACCTCTTTCACAAGTCAACACGCAAAGGCCAAATACACCTCAACAAGCTCGTGGTAGACCTCGACGTCGCGCGAATCCTCCCCAATGTGGAATCGGTAGTCATTTTGATAGAGCCGATCATTGATTTTCCTTTTTTCATATGTTGTACACTATTTTCGCTTTTTTATATTATAAATATTATAATTTATTATTTCTTTCCATTATTTTTTTAAAAAACAAAATGTTAATTAATATAAAAAAAATGACGAACTGAGACGCCATATGGTATGGCGTCTCCTCTGCAATTATAGGACACCTTTGTATGGTGGCGCCATATAAGATGACGGCTTGGTGCATCACTTCACCTGTCAGTCATTTTATATGATGCCTCGATATTGATTCATAGTTACTTTAAATTTTTTTTTGAAATTTCCTACTAAAATGGTATTTTGTTGAAAAGAAAATTCTAATATATTCATACTATAAGGATGCTATAAAAATAATTTTTGGGCGACAGTAATTATAATTTCTAACCCTAAACTATGATATTAAAAATTAAAATCGAAATTTGAGTGACAAAACGAACAACCTGTTCTAGAAGCTTCTTCCAATTTCCCCCTTTCGGTGTCTCTAACGGTGAAAGAATAATCTTTTAACAAATCGAAAAATTCAATCTCTCTCTATCTTCTTATCTACGAAAAGAACGATAAAATTCTGCAGAAATTGCAATTGGGTATGGCGGGAAGAGAAGTTCGAGAATACACCAATCTTACCGACCCCAAAGGTATAATTCTTCTTCATTTTTATTTTTTTCAATGTTTATAAGATCGTTGTTGTCTAAAGTTTTGATTTTTCATGTGTTTGAGTTACTGGGTATGTGTTAATTTGACAGATAAGAAATTGGGTAAAGGAAAAGATAAGATTGATGATGAGGATGTTACTTTCCAACGTATGGTTGCAAAGGTTAGCGCATTGATTCACCTTCTGTTATTTTCTTTTGTTTATGATAATAATTTTGGTACTTATTTACTACTGCAATCGTTTTTTCTATAGTGGAAAGAATTTTTATAGTTATGTTGTTATTGTTTCATTGGTACCTAATGCTAAGGGCTCAATCTTTCGCCTGAGGAGATATCAGTGCTGTTAATTGTTAGTGGAAAATAGCAATTTGTTTGAATTCTGCTACGCCAAAGCACCGCAATAGCTGCTAGCTGATAACACTCCGTGCTAAATAGTATATTGCAGAACATTACCAAATTACCAATCTGTTGAAATTCCGCTACGACATACTATTTGGCAACACTCGGAGATGCTATGGGAAATGAAAAAAACAAACATAGTTTTTGTGATACTAGGAGACCATTCTTTGATTGTCCATTGAGATATAGTTTAATTGTTGTGTGGAAAATGAGATAGGTGGTTTAGAATAAGCTTTGTAGTTTGTAAGTAGCTCCTTTGAATTCCTCTATTAAAAATGTAGCAAATCGGAGCTCTGCTTATTCTTGTGATTACATTCAATTTATTCATTTTTCAAACTATTACTGGTGTCGACATGTCAGTGTCGTGTCCGACATCCATGTCTGTGGTGCTTCAAAGTTTGTTAGGGGGAGGGGGAATTGGTAACCACTAGGATTATTAAACTCTGGACCCCCTTAATATGCCTTCAGCATCCCAACTCATAGTCATACCATTTAGGGACATAAGTTCTCATATGATAAGTGTTTATTGAATAACTGTTACCCCCGTTTTTTATTATAAGTCGTTTTGGAAAAAAAATTTGTACCAAAATATAAATTACTTTACATTACCAAAGAATAATTAATGTTATTTTTCCTATTATACCCTTAAAAGTTTATTATTATCTCTCTTTTCAATTATGTAAATTTATCTTCTCCATGTCATTAATGAAACTTTGTAAAAACATTCATAATTTCTCATTTTCATACAATAATTATTACTTTTCTTAATGTGTGAAAAGTCTCAAACGACTTATAATAAAAAGTAGTATATCATGTTGTTTACCCAAATGCTCCCGATGTCTATCTTTAAAGTTTTAAAATAATTTTTCTAGCAATACGAGGGATTATTCTGATAACGTGCCCTGACAGGGATCCTGGCTTCCTGTATTGGCTGGCTGATGCAAGCAGATGCAAGAGGTAGCTGGGGAGCGTGGAGGTTATCTTCATGGACGAGGCGGTACCACACTTAGTCTCTAGATTTTGTGTATTCCTGTGCTGTTTGTGCTTCCTCACCTCTTGCTTTTATCTGCTGTTCCTATATTATATATATTAGACTTGTTGCTCTCTTTTAAAATTCAAGTTTGCAGCATTGGACAGTGATGATCTACTATATCTCAAGGAGCAAATGGAAGCTGAGGAGGATGCAGAGCGCCTCTTGCGTCGTACTGAAAAACGAGCATTTGCCGCTTTTAAGATATCCTTTTGTGCTCATTACTACAGATAATATTCCTGTGTTTCCTTCCCCTTCATCTAGGGGGTCAGACAGATGTTTATGTTCCTAGAATCTATTTATTTTTTCGTCTATAATCATTTCTTCTGGAAGTTGTATATATATTATTTTGTTTCCTTTACCAATGGATACAGAGCAGCAAGTTTAGCAGATTCTTCACCTGCATCATTACCGTTACCGTTACGTGTTGAGCCAAAACCAAAGAGCGGGATTAGGTTGATTTTTTGATCTTCTTCCACTCCAGCTTACCCCTGTGCTTGTTTTCTGGCTTCAATGTTATTCATGATATCTATATTTTTTGCAATACAGGCAACAAGATCTGCTGAAAAAAGTTGTTGAGATTAAACCTAAGCGACCAAGGTCTGAAAGCAATAAGCCAACACAAGCTCCTAGTGATACTTCTATTACAAATCACGGGCGTGATCGTGATAATTTGAAAGAAAATGATCAGTTTTTATCAAGACCAAAAAAATTTGAGGAACACCCTACAGCGGGGATGCATGACGGTGAAACTAAGCCTAAGGTTGATAACTCTGGCGGCGGGGGATTACTAGGCCTGGCGTATACTAGCTCAGATGATGACGATGAATGATTGACAATACTTTGGATAGCACAAATCACTTTTTCAGTCATTGTCTTTGTAGTTTTAGTACAAAATGCATGGTTTATTAAGAGGAAGTATTGAATTGTAATGAAGATGTCTAAAAAAAGTTTTCCAATGCATGAAACATTTAGGAACAAGGTTGTAAAAGAAGAAAATGAAGAATTAGAACATTACTATACAAGTAGAATTAAGATACAATTTTGTAAGTGTTCATTAAATCTTAATGTGCCAATTTTGTTTTTCTTATATTCCAATGGTTAGTAGAAATGAAAACTATGCTTAACTGAATTTTTTGTAAGATATTTGATGGGTTAAATCGAAATTTCTTTATATTTAATTGAGTCAAAATTTGATTATTGTATAAGTGTGACAAGTAGTTATAATGCTGTTGACAAAGTGCTATAAAAAATGTGTGATGCACGTTCAGTTCAACCATTAGATTAATCTAGATAGCGGTGGCAAGATGCCTTATTCCAAAAAGGAGACTGCTTGTCGAAATGCTTCTTAAATTTTGGAGATGTATTTTCAAATGCACCTATGTTTTAAGTCAAAACGTTAAATTTAAGCTACATCAATATATTTAATAAAAAATAATTCAAAAATACATTTTTGAAATATTTCAATACACATCTCATGCATCCTTCTCTAAAAGGATCCTTTTAAAGATAGATTGGCCCGGAGATGCATCTACGTATATGTATATATGGAGATGCATCTTTGTTATCAGACAAAACAAAAAATGTTAAGTTTGTTTTATTGATGTTCAGATAAAATTGAAGTTATAGTAAATGTATACTATGATGAACATTAAATTATACAATCGATATGCAAAAAATGACATATATAAATTCAGATGGTCAAAATAAATCGTCAACCGATACACTATACAGTCGAATTAAATCAAAATAAAATATAATTGATATTAAATTCAAAGTACAAATATTATATACTAATGCATACGACGGACTCGAGCTTCCCAAAAATTCAAAGTACAATTGATTTAGTGTCTAATTCAGAAATCTATTGAATTATGGTGCATCCGGAGACGTGTCTCCGAAATCTAGAGTATTTTTGTATTTTTACGTGGTGTGCTAGTAATCATATGGTACATTAAGAAATTTTCAACCAAAAAAAGAGACAAACATAGTTAAATGTGCGAGTCTAAAATCTTGACTATTCTTGTAGGTGTTTGAAAAAAATGGGACATGATGGGTAGACATTAAAAGATACGGGTCTAAAATTTTGATTTGCCAATAAAAAAATACAGACAAAACGGATATATGCGAGCTGAAAAAAAAGAATACAGATAACACAGATGTCTGGCAGATTCGTTTTAGAAAAAACAAAACAAATATAATTGAAGGCGTGAGTTTAAAATTTTTATCAGTTTTATAGGTATTCAAAAAGATATTGGGACATAACGGGTAGACATAATAGAATATGCGAGCCTAAAGTTTTAATTTGCCGTTAAAAAAATCAGACAAACAAAATGAACATGTCCAACATACCCATTGTGTAAAATACAGAAAAAAAAACAGACATTTCTGGTGGATCCATGCTATCTTGCCACCACTAAGTCTAGATGCTCTTAATATATGAATGAAATAAGAAAAATGGCTTGACAGCTACTACAGCCTTTATTGTAGTTGAGATTTGATGCAGCAAATTCTTACGGCCACACAATGACAGTGGCATGCTTGATGGAAAAACCAATCTCAACTGTTGCATTAGTGTAACAGTCAAAGTCAAAGGTGAGAAAACTAAATTAACAATCATTTTAATTTGAATGATTGCTACTTTTATATTTTATAATGTCCTATTTATAACTTAGGCTACTAAAAACAACTTAGCATTAAATAATAAATATATATGAATTATACATTGATTAATTAATTAATTAATTAATTAATTATATATATATATATATATATATATATATATGAAAAATTTAAATTTGGACGAGGAAATCCATGAAACCCTAGAAGCAGAGAAGGGAATAAACGAACCCAGAAAACTCTGGGTTGACGTCATTAGCGGAAATCGCAACCCTGGTAATGAATTATCACTCGAATTCATAGCACCAAAAATTATCAATGGAGTATCTGAGGTTATAATTGAGGAAACAGATACTATCAATGAGGTGAAATTCTGGAAAACTTCTTTGATAATGTATGTTATTGGTGGTGAATTAAGCATGAATGGTGTCAAGCAGTTCATGACCAAACAATGGAATTTCTTCAAGTTACCTGACATGTACTACAACAACGAAGGCTATTTTATTCTGTGATTTCATTCGCATAAAGAAAGAGACACTGTTTTATTGAAGAGACCATATACCATACGAAACATGCCGATGTTACTAGCTGAATGGAAGCCAAACTTCAATTTAAAGACTGATATGCTGCGTACCATCCCGGTTTGGGTCCAGTTTCCCCAACTGCCACTCCATCTATGGGGGAAAAAATCCTTGGCAAAGCTAGCAAGCGTACTCGGAACCCCGCTAATGACTGATGAATGTACCGCCAACAGATATCGTATTTCATATGCTAGAGTACTAGTCGAAATAGACATCACCCAGGAGCTGATTAAGGAAATAACCATTACAGACGACAACAGAGAAAAGATGCAACAAATGGTGGAGTATGAGTGAAGACCACCGTATTGTATGAAATGTCATCGAATAGGACATAAATGTGAGGACAAACGGCAGGAAAATCAGGTGAAAAAAATGGGCCCCCAAAGAGAAGAAAACAAATGAGTACCAATTGAAAAAACCTCAGGAGAAGTCTGTTCTTAAGACACCGACACACTAGAGAGTATTGCTTGTGAATGTTCCGACACAACAACCTATTGCACAGGTCCAACAGCAGACGGGAATTGAGATTACTAATGGACCAATCCTCCAACCAACAAATGAATAATAGACAGATGAGGGAGAATCTGAAGGCTGGACAGAAGTTCGGAGGCGTGATAAAGACAAAAGTCAGTACAGTAGTGCTGGGAAGAATCCTAGAGTGACTCACGTGAAAAGGAAACATGGAAATATGGTTGCAACACTTGGGGATAGTTCTGCCTCAGTGTTCTTAGAGGATGTTCCATGATCATTTCATGGAACGTGATGGGGCTAAATAAAGCGGGCAAGGTTAGAGAGATTAGCTCCAGTCTTCGAAACCTTGACCCTGCAATAACTGTATTAATTGAGACTAGAGTGAAAAAGCAAAAAGTTGTGGGAATTAGAAAGAAATTAAAGATGCGTGGTAGTTACATGGATAATTATGCTCAACATGATAATGGCCGAATTTGGATCCACTGGGATGACAACAGCAGACAGGTTGAATTTGTTGCAAGCACGGATCAAATGATTCACTGTAAGGTGAATGATGCTAATGATAATTTCATGTTCTGGATGACGGCAATATACGCGCAAAATCAACTGCATCATAGAAAGAAGTTATGGCAAGACATTGAGAAAATCTGTGCAAACCAGACTGGGCCTTGGATGTTGATCGGTGACTTCAACAATGTTATGAAGATCGAAGATCGGATTGGCGGGAATGAGGTGACAGAGAACGAATACAAGGATCTTATTGAGATGATGAGCAAGACTGAATTGTATGCACTAGATCATCAAGGTGATTATTTCACCTGGTCCAACAAACAGGAACACAATGCAATTTATTCGAGGATTGACCATATGTTGGGAAACGCGGATTGGATGCAACAAAATGATAATACGACTCTAACTCATGAGAACCCCAACATCTCCGATCACTCCATGCTGATACTGAATGACAACATGCCGAAAACTAGAGCAAACAGAGTTTTTAAATTCATAAATTGCAGCACGGACTTGGATCATTTTTGGGACACTGTCAGTGATAGTTGGAATATGCCAATGGAAGGTAGTCTAATGTTTATTGTTTGGAGGAAATTATTGAGGTTGCAACCACATATAAAGTCACTTAGTAAACCTTTGGCTGATGTTACTAACAAAATTCTGCAGACCCGTGAGAAGCTAACAGTAGCCCAGACTGATCTTGCGCATAGCAGGCTAAATGGCAACAAAATTCGACAGGTTAAGGAATATACTGCAGAACTTTTGGATTGGCAGGAAAAGGAAGAGAGTATGCTGAAACAGAGGGTGAAAATTGAATGGTTACGTCACTGTGATGGTAACAACAAATATTTTCATGCCTCAATTAGAATGAGACAACAATTCAAAACCATGAAGAAAATTCAAATGGAGGATGGTTCTTATGCTACAGATCAAAAAGGACTGGAAAATGCAGTGCTAGAGTTCTACACTAAACTCATGGGGACACGTTCCAACGACCTTGAAGCTATTGACACTAGTGCAATGCGTGCGGGCAGCCAGCTGACTGAAAACCAGAGAACAATGCTCAGTGAACCGGTTACAGAAAAAGAGATCAAGGATGCGCTAGATGGTATAGGAAATGACAAGGCGCCGGGTCTAGATGGCTTTGGAGCCTATTTTTTCAAACAGGCATGGCAGATAGTGAAGGCAGATGTTATAACAACAATTAATGATTTTTTTTAATACCAATCGAATGTTCAAGGCGGTGAACTGCTCAATTGTCACGCTTATCCCTAAACACAGTGGAGCGAAGGAAATGAAGGATTATAGACCGATTGCTTGCTGCAGTACCTTATATAAAATCATCTCAAAGGTACTAGCTAATCGGTTGGCCATGGTATTAGGAGCAACTGTGGGTGATAACCAGGATGCTTTCGTAAAGGGACAAAAAATTCACAATCATATACTCCTCACTCATGAGTTGATCAATGAAAGGAAAAGAATCTCCCCCAGATGCCTTCTTCAAATGGATATCCAAAAAGCATACGATACGGTGGATTGGAATGCGTTAGAGAAGATTTTACTTGAGGTAGGATGCCTGCCAAAATTTGTTGATTGGGTCATGACTGCGGTTTCGACGGTATCATACAGATTCAATGTTAATGGATACCACTATGATATTATGAAAGCAAAAAGGGGTCTTTGTCAAGGTGACCCAATCTCGCCTATGTTTTTTGTCATTGTAATGGAATGCTTGAACCGTTACCTCTTCAAAATGCAACAAAATAGTAACTTCAACTATCACCCGAAATGTGATAAACTGAATATTACAAACTTGTGTTTTGCGGACGACCTCCTCCTATTCTCTAGAGGCGACAAGAATTCAGTCAATTTAATGATGGCAACACCAAATTCTCGAAGGCCACAGGTTTAGTTGTGAATCCACAAAAATGTCGAATTTATCTTGCTGGTGTAGATGAGAAGACGAAGAAAGATATTCATATGGCATCTAATTTCCAAATGGGACAGTTACCGTTCCGGTATCTAGGGGTACCCGTAACGAGTAAGAAGTTATCTATTGCCCAGTATTCTCCGCTGATTGAAAAAATTGTTGGAAAAGTACAGCACTGGACAACGCGGTTACTAACTTATGCGGGAAGATTACAGCTTATAAAAAGCGTGATGTTTGCGACGACCAACTATTGGTTAAACTGTTTTCCCTTCCCTAAAGGTGTCCTTAAAAAAATTGAAACAATTTGCCGGATTTTTCTTTAGACAGGCGGTTTTGCAGGTAACCGTAAGTCACCCGTATCTTGGAAACAGGTCTGCAACCAGTTGGCTATGGTGGGCTGGATATCATAGATATTGAAGTGTGGAATAATGCCAACTTAATGAAACTGCTTTGGAATTTGAGTGGGAAAGAAGACTCGTTGTGGGGGAGATGGATACAGGCATACTACATCAAAAACAGAAGTCTACTGGATATACAGTGTACCAGCAATGATTCCTGGATTATGAAGGCCATTCTTAGTCAGAGGGATGATCTCACCACAAAAGGGAAGCTGGTATAAATCATGGAGGATCCAAACCTTAAAGTTGGCAAAGTTTACAAATCCATACAAGAAGATGGACAAAAGATAAGATGGGCAAACTTGATCTACGGTAATAACGCACGACTCCGCGCTAAATTTATTATGCGGCTGGCTTGTCATGATAGATTAACAACTAAGGACAGGTTAGCTAGGTTCGGCGTGATTGAAACACTTATTGTTGTTTCTGTTTGAATGATGAATCTCTTAATCATTTATTCTTCGAATGTGAAACAATGAGAAGTATTTGGAAGGAAGTCCTACAGTGGATGCAGATCCATTGTATCCTGGGGGGCTGGCAAGACGAACTTAATTGGCTGATGCAAAACACAAAAGGAAAAGGAGCAAAGGCGGCTGTCATTAAAATGGCGGCATCCGAAACTATATATGAACTTTGGATGATTAGGAATAATTTTTTTTTTGATATGAATGAAGATACAACCATAGTGGGGAAGAAAGTTATAGATACTTTGGTATACAGAGGATGTAATACCAAGAAAATTAGAAAATACATAGCTATTATTATGTTAGATGGGGGATAATTATCTTTAGTTTTTCTTGGTTCTATTAGTTCTATTTAGTTTGTGTTAGTGGCTGGATCCGGAAGAAGATCGCTTGTACTTACTGTTATTTTTTGAAGTAATATAAAGTTTCTTTTACTCAAAATTTAACTTCTTTTTTAATATTTTTTTTATTACTTATTATATATAATAATTTTTATAACTATTTCATTCAATTTTCTTTTATATAAAATTTAAATTAAAAAAATTAAATACACAAAAAATATATTTATATTTTTAAACATCTGAATATTAAAATAACGGACAGACGAATGTCCGTCTGAACGTTTTATATATATATATATATATATATATATATATATATATATATATATATATATATATATATATATATATATATATATATATATATATATATATATATATATATATATATATATATATATATATATATATATATATATATATATATATATATATATATATATATATATATATATATATATATATATATATATAAACCGGAAAAAGTATTTTATATTGAGTTGGAGGCTATCTAGAAGATTAATCCTGTATTTCATTTATGAGTGTGACATCATCATATACGACACCAGAAACTTTATTTAGTTGAAGCTTTCATCAAATTCCATTCTAAGAACTTGACATCTCATCAATGAATCTATATGCCAATTGGAACAAAACTAAATTTAAAAACATAGGATATTTTATATAAAATAATATATTATTATAATAAGAACGTGATAAAATAATATACCTTTACAAAATAAATCATATAATTTACTAAGTGACATGACAAATTTTAAATGCAGTTCTAAATTACTTAATTTTTATGATTTTCATAATGAATTTCAAGCTGATAAGCACATTCACATCTATCATATTTATTTAAGTTTTTTTAAAATGTGTCTCATTCAATTTTTTTATATATTATATTTTTTTAATTATTAAATAATTTATTTATAATTCTCAAATATTTATTTAATCCATAAAAAATTTAAAATAGATCTCACCAAACTTCACACCTTACATTCATATATTTATTGGCATTTGAAGTATAATATTTTATCTTTATTAAATGGGAAGAAACAATTAAGAAAAATTCCTACATGAAATAACATGTGCAAATGAAGGAGGGTTTTTATGCTAAATATTCATTAGATTCTGACATGATGACATAAAAATTTGTATAGACACCGCTTGAATCCACCGATTATTATACTCTAAGATATCTTTTGAAAGTAACTTTTATGTTATCCATAAGTGAATTTTTATTGCAATTTTATGTTATTCATAAGTGAATTTTTATTGCAAAAGATATTCATCGACACGATCTGCTGCGCTCATTTCTTTTTATACATCGATTTTATCGAAACTCCCACCAACATGTAGCACAAATATGATGTTTTCATACAAAGCATTCAAACAAACTACTTGAATAAAATAGTTTCAAAATCATCCACATTATTCCAAAAGCAATTAATGTGTTGATTTTACGATTAAGTTTGACACCTATATCCTCCTTCGAGTCTTAATAGCATTTTTGCTGCTGATGTTACAGATCCTTCTTGTTAAACATGAAGATGGGAAGATTAGAGAAGTTACTTGTGTATTAAGTTAACTCATTAAATTATAACCCTTAGCTAGTTAATTATAACTAACTCTCACAAGTTAGTTTCAAGGAGGTTAAAAGTTGATTATTAGAAGTAACTAACTCATTACATCATATGTATTTAATGTAATATCATTGTAGTTTTTAAATTTGTAAAATGCAATTCATTTTATATTAAATTCTCTCTTTCTTCTTCTATATTGGTGTTCATGTTTTGAGCTTTCACATTGTATCATCGACCCGTGGCTCTGGATTCACCACTGATGCATTCCCCCGCTTTGCTTAACAAATCTCATTCTTCTTTTCATTCATTCATCTCCAATAAGCTTTTCAAGAATGTATGTTGAAAGTTCATCTAAAACCAACAATAATGGTCACTCTTCATCACACCATAACAATTGTGTTCCTTTGTCTTTAAACCCTAATAAAAGTTATCAATGTTATGGCTAAATAATTCAGTCGAACATAAATTTCACTCCTGTTGAATGATGGAAATTATCACTATTGATCCTGATCCATGACAATGGCTTTAAGGTCCAAGAACAAACTTCACTTCATCAAAGAGCATTGCTAATACCACCAGATGAAGATCGTGATTCAATAGTTTGGGATAGGTGCAACACTATGATCATGTTATGGCTAAATAATTCAGTCGAACCTAAAATTTCTTAGAGCATCTCATGGATAGAAAATTGCACCCAACATTTAAAAAGAGTTGAAAGAGATTTTATCATGGTGCTATATTTAGAATCTCAGATATTCAATAAGAGATTTGCAATTCGAAACAAGGTGATTGCTCCATCTCTTCTTACTACACAAAATTGAAAATATTGTGGCAAGAATTAGATAATTTTCACCTCATTCCTGCTTGCGAATGTTCCATTTCTTGTATAACCATTGAAAAACTCTGAGGTTACAAAGATTCTTATCAAGTTATCAGATTCTTGAAGGGTTTAAATGAGCAATGTTATGCTGTTAGATATCAGATCATGTTGATGGATCATCTTCCTAACATTTGCAAAGTGTATTCCTTGCTCGTTCAACAAGAAAGACAAATTGTCACTCCTTCAGATGAATCCAAGATCTTGGTATTCCCTTCTGGTCAATCTCAGGATAGAAGTAGTTATTATTTTCGTGGCAAAAGCAATAAAGGTGGTAGAAAATCTAGTGTTTGAGGTAGAGGAACGAGAATTTGCACACATTGTGGTATGACTAATCATACCATATATACATGCTTCAATAAGCATGGTTATCCACATCATTAGCAACAATAAGGTATTATCAACAACTTCTCTTATGAAAACAATCAAGTGATGGTTCTAACTCTGAGATTAATGAGGAACATAATAATGAACAATATTCTAGTCTATTATCTTTCACTTCAGATCAACATAAACCTCTATTAGCATTACTTTAAAAATCATCACAATTGACTTCTCATAGTGTGAACCACATCACCACCAAAGTTCTGACAGCTTCAATCACTTACATGTTTTCATCTAA